GAAAGAGTGGAGGTGCGTGTCCAACTGACGACCTTATGATGATGATGTAATATTGACTGCAAATTAATAGCAGCAATGAAATTCCTTAATAATTTTGCTAATAAATTTTAAATGAAAATTAGTAATAGGTAACGTAGAGGTTGAATAGATAAAAGAAAATTACTGATTACTAACCTTTTTTAAAAGTCTATTACTAACTACTACCTACAGACGAGGTATCTACTTTTTCCCTACTTTTAAAGCAGGACCGTCTCCAGAATTAAGGCTGCCCCAGACAAACTGTTAAACAGCCGCCTTTTAAATGTTAACTGTCGTGTATATACTGTAGATATGAAATTTTTTTTTGATATTTTTATGCAAATGTACCTAATATCTACAAACAAAACATGTGTCGTACAATTGAAAATTAAACAATATAAATATTAATGAAAAGCTAGATTTCCAATTTTAATTTCTGCAAAAGTAGAAATTAAATCGTTATAATTTAATGTAGTTGTCACCTCATTTTCTACTAAAATTAATTCCAATTCACTGAGTCTATTTTGAACCATACTTGATCTTCAATAATTTTCTATTGTTTTTAATTTGGAGAAGCTTCTTCCTTCAGAAGCTACAGGGACGGATAGAGTAAATATTCTTATAGCTATCACACAATTAACGATTATTCGCGGGACTTTTCTGTAGGGAATACTGTTTGGACTAGAAATTATTGGGTCTCATTTAAAATTACTTCTCAGGGATTTTTTCATATACTAGGACAACATATAATTAATGGTCTTCTCTGCTGTGCCATGATGCTGAACAACATCGCATATTCAGCGCAATGTAATCATCTAAATATACATAGATTACAGGCTATAGGTAAGTATACAACAATTGGTAGCCTGGAGAGAACTGATAATTCTAATCAAATTGCTGATTCAATGCCTTCACGTATTTATCTAATATTTCCTTCAATCTAAATATGAAAACTGGAAAAATTTTGGCGGTTGTTGTAGAACAAACAGAATAGCTCAAACCCCAACGCCAAAACACGACACTGCAGTTGACCAAAGCACTTTTCGATAACAAGGTTACCTTCTTCAAGGACTGAAATGACTGCAGTTCGTAACAGGGTAAAACAACTGTTATGGACTGCTTTAAACTTCACTCGCATGAGCCATAGCCTCAAATTTAATACCTACGTTAAAGAATTCCAGAAAAGTTCGTAGATTGCAAGCTTAGCCAGTCCAATTTCTAACTAAATTACATTTTGAAACTGTAATTTCGTGGATAAAATAAATTCATCTTCTCTACAAATACTTCGCAGTAAGGTTATTACAACTGTGGCGTATTGTACCAATATAAAACATGCAAGCAAGAAGATTCTCCATGAACATTATGAGCAGACAAAAACTAATACTTGTGACTAATACGAACAAAACTTTGTAAAAATATTGACATATTTCCTTACGTAACATAACAGCCCAATTTTCGAAAGTGTCAAATGATAGTCAAAAGTAACTCAAGTATTAAGCAACCAACTAACTAATTTGATAAAATTCACATAGGACACATTTGCATTAAGTACTATGCAAATATCAATACCCTGAAAACGAATCAAAATGAGAACGATTATTGCTAAATTGCTCCTCCTCAAAAATCCAATGCAGCTATTTCTAATTCAGAAAAAAAGGAGAAAATTCGATTTTGGGAATGTATATTTTCAACAATTACACAGACAACATGGTGTTCTATCTTATTAAGTAAATACCTACAGTACGTAACGGTAACGTCATCAATATACCGTAATCAGACTAATCAGGCTTCCCCTTCCTCGCATTCACTCTTCTCCTCCTTCACCTTCTCCTTCTCCTGAATCCATTCCAACCTCTTCAAAATCCTTTTCCAAAGCTGCTATGTCTTCTCTTGCTTCCGAAAATTCACCTTCTTCCATACCTTCACCAACATACCAATGAACGAAAGCTCTTTTGGCATACATCAAATCAAACTTATGGTTTAGACGAGCCCAAGCCTCGGCTATTGCTGTCGTGTTCGATAACATACAAACGGCGCGTTGAACCTTTGCTAAATCGCCACCAGGAACTACAGTAGGAGGTTGATAATTTATTCCAACTTTAAATCCTGTTGGACACCAATCGACAAACTGAATTGTTCTCTTTGTTTTAATTGTTCCAATTGACGAACTCACATCTTTTGGAACCACGTCTCCTCTATAAATTAAACAGCAAGCCATGTATTTTCCATGACGTGGATCACATTTAACCATTTGGTTTGCCGGTTCGAAACAAGCATTTGTTATTTCCGGTACAGAAAGTTGCTCGTGGTAGGCTTTTTCAGCTGAAATAATAGGGGCGTATGTTATGAGTGGAAAGTGAATACGAGGGTAAGGAACGAGATTCGTTTGGAATCCCAATAAATCCACATTGAGTGCTCCATCAAAACGAAGTGATGCTGTTATTGAAGACACTATTTGACCGAGTAACCTGTTTAAATTTGTGTACGTTGGTCGTTCTATGTCTAAATTTCTTCGACAAATATCGTACAGTGCTTCGTTGTCAACCATAAAAGCCGCATCTGAGTGTTCTAATGTTGTATGCGTTACTAATATGGAATTGTAAGGTTCAACAACGGATGTTGCAATTTGTGGAGCTGGATAAATAGCAAATTCCAGTTTCGACTTTTTTCCATAATCAACAGATAATCTCTCCATCAGGAGTGATGTAAATCCTGAACCAGTTCCACCTCCAAATGAATGAAATATAAGAAATCCTTGAAGTCCAGTACACTGGTCTGCTAACTTTCGAAGACGATCTAGAACAAGATCAACTATTTCCTTTCCAATTGTGTAATGGCCTCTAGCATAATTGTTAGCTGCGTCTTCTTTTCCACTAATCAATTGTTCTGGGTGGAACAACTGACGGTAAGTACCAGTACGCACTTCATCGATTACTGTTGGTTCCAAGTCGAGAAATACCGCCCTGGGAACATGCTTTCCCGCACCTGTTTCGCTGAAGAAGGTGTTAAAGCTATCGTCACCTCCGCCGACGGTTTTATCTGATGGCATCTGCCCATCCGGTTGGATTCCATGTTCTAAGCAATAAAGCTCCCAGCACGCGTTTCCAATTTGGACTCCCGCCTGACCACAATGAACCGATATACACTCGCGCTGAAATAGGGCAATATTGTAAAAATAAAAGAGATAAAAATTATGTAGCAACTTACCATGTTTAAAAGTAACAAAAAAAAGAAAAAAAAAATAGTACAAAGAAGCGACTAAACCCAATTACATAAACATAATAAAATATTTACCACATATCCTGGCAACGAGACCATAGCCTGCTTATGATTTAAAAATGACAGATAAACGTTACCAATTCACCTAAGCGAACCATGGGCAGTGACGATGTTGCCTTTCAATTTTTATACCTCGTTTTTCTGTACAAATTGAACCTAGAATGTTTGATATTCAAATGATTTCAAACGTCTAAAGTCTACCGACTGTCTATCATTTATAGAAAACAAACTATTTTAAACTGTGTCGAATACCAAAAAATATATATCTATTCATAATAGCTTTGTAATGATAAGATCAGTAATAGAAACAATTTGCTAAAATTTTTTTCATAGTAAAGTCAACTCGAAATTAAGCTCAATTTAATATAAAAATACACATTTATTCTCTCATTACATACTCGATACCTAAACGTACAATTGTAAATAATATGTGTGATTGCAATTGCTTCAACCACAGTTTCCTATTGTACATCAGCTTCACCTTCTCGTAATTAGTTAGTTAGATGATCTACGCCTAATTAGCATTTTATAGGATACTATTCTTCACCTTCGCCCTCGCCTTCTCCAGAGTCCATGCCTATTTCTTCAAAATCTTTTTCCAGTGCTGCCATATCTTCACGTGCTTCAGAAAATTCACCTTCCTCCATTCCTTCACCAACGTACCAATGAACGAAAGCTCGTTTAGAATACATTAGATCAAATTTGTGATCCAAGCGAGCCCAGGCTTCTGCGATGGCTGTTGTATTGGCCATCATGCAAACAGCACGCTGTACTTTCGCTAAATCGCCTCCAGGAACAACTGTAGGCGGTTGGTAATTAATACCAACTTTGAATCCTGTCGGGCACCAGTCTACGAATTGAATTGTACGTTTCGTTTTAATTGTTCCAATTGCTGCATTCACATCCTTCGGAACAACATCTCCCCTATACAGCAAACAGCAGGCCATGTATTTTCCATGACGTGGATCGCATTTAACCATTTGATTTGCTGGTTCGAAGCAGGCGTTNAAAAAAAAGTAAATATAAAACTTTCAACCCTAAAAAAGTACATCCGTACTAGGTTTGGCCGCACCTCCAAGAGTGCTGCCCCAGGAAATCTCCCGGTCGCCCGGGTTGCTCAGGCTGCCCTGTCTGATTGAAACTATTTCTATAAATTTACTTTATGCGTTAGTGTACGCACAGGTTAATTAGGACAACATATAATTAATGGTCTTCTCTGCTGTGCCATGATGCTGAACAACATCGCATATTCAGCGCAATGTAATCATCTAAATATACATATATTACAGGCTATAGGTAAGTATACAACAATTGGTAGCCTGGAGAGAACTGATAATTCTAATCAAATTGCTGATTCAATGCCTTCACGTATTTATCCAATATTTCCTTCTATCTAAATATGAAGACTGGAAAAATTTTGGCGGTTGTTGTAGAACAAACAAAATAGCTCAAACCCGAACGCCAAAACACGACACTGTAGATGTCCGAAGCACTTTTCGATAACAAGGTTATCTTCTTCAAGGACTGAAATGACTGCAGTTCGTAACAGGGTAAAACAACTGTTATGGACTGCTTTAAACTTCACTCGCATGAGCCATAGCCTCAAATTTAATACCTACGTTAAAGAATTCCAGAAAAGTTCGTAGATTGCAAGCTTAGCCAGTCCAATTTCTAACTAAATTACATTTTGAAACTGTAATTTCGTGGATAAAATAAATTCATCTTCTCTACAAATACTTCGCAGTAAGGTTATTACAACTGTGGCGTATTGTACCAATATAAAACATGCAAGCAAGAAGATTCTCCATGAACATTATGAGCAGACAAAAACTAATACTTGTGACTAATACGAACAAAACTTTGTAAAAATATTGACATATTTCCTTACGTAACATAACAGCCCAATTTTCGAAAGTGTCAAATGATAGTCAAAAGTAACTCAAGTATTAAGCAACCAACTAACTAATTTGATAAAATTCACATAGGACACATTTGCATTAAGTACTATGCAAATATCAATACCCTGAAAACGAATCAAAATGAGAACGATTATTGCTAAATTGCTCCTCCTCAAAAATCCAATGCAGCTATTTCTAATTCAGAAAAAAGGGAGAAAATTCGATTTTGGGAATGTATATTTTCAACAATTACACAGACAGCATGGTGTTCTATCTTATTAAGTAAATACCTACAGTACGTAACGGTAACGTCATCAATATACCGTAATCAGACTAATNATAGATGGCGTTTACCGCGCCGTTTGCAAGATTCCACAAAACGCTGTGGCAAGGCAGCAATGAGAGTTGATCTGTGTTCTGTGGTAGCTGTTTGCAGCGTGCTCATAAGATCCTACAAGATCGAGATCGCGATCCGCATCTGACAGTATCGACAGAATATTGACTTTTTTTTTGGAAATTTGTGTGGAAAGATGTGACATGCAGTTGCTATCGTACTTTGTATGGGAAATATTTAATTTGTCATTAGATTTATTTGAAATTTAGGCTTAACTCAGCTTATGAAGGGTTCAAGAGGGTTACGCTGAACGAAAAGGATTCGTTACGGGTAGTTATATACAAATGTATTATTATTCGGGGTTAAAGATATTTTGGAAACATAAAGAGCTTTATTTGAAGCACGTGCAGACAGGGAATAAAAAAAGAATTTCTACCTATGTGTCCTATCGTCGAAGCAACATAAGTTGATGCAAATTATGAACAACATAAAGAACGAAAAACGCAAAACAAAAATAAGAAATTGTTAACTAAATTAATTTTACCCGCTTTGTGGAAATAGCAGTGGGGCATAATACAAAATTCTCAATTTGTTCTTAATTCATCAACTATATTTTTTGGCTACGTCTACCTCCTTCAAGGTTCTGTTGTAACTATTCTGTTAACTGAACATGTAAATAAAAATTAATATATGTAAATTTTGAATGTTGCAAACAAATAAAACAGGGTAAACCAACTATTATGGACTGCTTCAAACTTCGCTCGCATGAGCCACAGCCATAAATTTAATACCTACGCCAAAGGATTCCAGAAAAGTTCGTGGATTGCAAGCTTAGCCAGTCCAATTTCTAACTAAATTACATTTTGAAACTGTAATTTCGTGGATAAAATAAATTCATCTTCTCTACAAATACTTCGCAGTTAGTAAGGTGAATACAACTGCGACGCATTATACCTGTATATAGAATATGCAAGCAAGAAAATTCTTCATTAAAATTATGAACAGACAAAAATCTAATACTTGTTACTAATATGATTTGCATTATGTACTATCAAAATATCAATACTCTGAAAACGAATCGAAACGAGAACGAATATTGCTGAATTGTTCTTCCTCAAAAATCCAATGCAGCTATTTCTAATTCAGAAAAAAGCGAGAAAATTCGATTTTGGGAATGTATATATTCAACAATTACACAGACAACATGGTGTTCTATCTTATTAAGTAAATACCTACAGTATGTAACGGTAACGTCATCAATATACCGTAATCAGACTAATCAGGCTTCTTCTCCCTCGCATTCACTCTTCTCCTCCCTCACCTTCTCCTTCTCCAGAATCCATTCCCACCTCTTCGAAATCCTTTTCCAAAG